AGGCTGGAAGTACCTGAAACAGCTTAAAAATCTGATTTGTTTCTCATGGCTGCAGCCCTTCATGGTTTTCCACTGATCAACCAACACTCTAAACTGGCTTTTATTGTAGTTGATCATTCCAGCCTCAGAGCCCTGAGGGTCTTGCAGGAATTTGAGCCTGTCCATGATGTTGGATTTCATCCCGTGTGTCCGTTTCTCAAGATCAGCTTTTCTTCCCTGTGAGCTCCTAAACCCTTCTGGAGGAACAGAGTGTCACCCAGTGCTGCATCACCAGAAAACACCACCCTAATTCAGAACTCTTCTTTTTTTTGTCTGATGTCAAGAGGACTTGGCTTAAGAAATAAGGACTCATTTCTCTGTCTGGGATGTTGGATAGTCATGGAAAAGGATGACCAGTGACTGGTCTTATCCACTGAAACATCCAGGACACATTTCCGCTCTTGAAGACTGCAAGCTCCTTCCGGGAAAGTCCAGGAAAGGTTCACTCTACCACTTGCATATAATTTTTTAGTAAGCTGAGTTTAAATTTTAAGGCAGATTTAGCAGGTGTCTGTGAGGGGGGTTTTTGTGGTTTTTTTTTTGAACCAGTCGTGAAAACTTTTATATGTGAAGTATTTTTCTGATTTTTGGAGCAAGGCACAGTGTTTCCACAGCCAAGTTTTTAGGTGACATGGGATTGCCTGGCCTTTGAAGGAAGGGGGGGTTCCTGAACACCCTCAGTCATCCATCTTTGATACTCAAACATCCCTAAAAACCGATGGATATGGCTTTCTGAATTTCCCAGTACCCCAATAAAATGGGAATAGAAGAGGAAAAGAAAGTGCCCACAGCTGGCACTAAAATATAGTCTAGTGTTGGCCTTAAATGTCTTTATTTCAGATCCTTCATGCTCTCAACATCCCCTGGTCCCTTTTGGGATGGGGAATAAATGTGCCAGCGGTGGTGGGGGAATCATCAAGTGGACCAAAGCCCCACCTGGTAGGAAATTATCCCAGAGCACTCTGGGAATTCAGGAGCTGGTTTTGATGGTCTTTGGGGATCAGTTCAGGATATTCTGTGATTCTAAATCCCAAAAAAGTGGCTTAGGAAAGCCTGAGAAGGATGATCCACAGCTCTTTTTGGAGGGGTGTGTCAGGCACGGAGCTGAGTGGAAGAGGAAACCAATTTCAGGGCAACATTCCCAGAAACAGGGCAGAAACCCGAAAATTTATCACTTGTTAAGTGTTTGTGGTGCCACAGGGCTGTGAGCGTGACTGGGAACACTGAGCTTGACCAACACAACCAAGCCCCATCTCTGACCCCACCTTTTGCCAAGAATATGAGGGTTTTTTCCGAGGTTTTTCCTCTCTCTGATTCTCAACCTCCTTCGGTGTCTTTGCACAGACTCCCTGCTCTGCTGAGTAGCTCCTAATCCCTGGAAAAATCTATAAAACACACACAAACAAACAAAAAAAAAAAGGGCTGGGAATAACGTGGGGCTGACGATGTGAGCTCAGCCGCCGTCAAACCGGCCGTGGATCCGATCCCGAGCGAGGGAATCGCCGCGATTCCGTGTGTCCCGCGTGCGGAATGTTTCAAGGACAATGGTCCTTCGTTAATTGCTGCTTTCAGGTTGGCGTAACCGTCGGTGCTTCCAAGGAAACAACAAAGTACTCTTTGATGTTGGCATGAAAGGGGGGAAAGTAGTTTCCCTGCCGCTGATTCCATGGATGCGAGTTCCTAATGAGCTCCGGGACGCTCGCGGTGTTGACGGAGGGATTGTGGGAGATGGGAATGGGGAGCCTTGGCGGGATTGCACCAAATCTACACGAGCCACCGTCGCGCTCCGGGATAGTTCGGGCAAAACATCCCGTATTTCTGAAATTTCTCCGGCACTGATGTTGGAAAAGCTGCCAAAACAACGGAGCCGGTGCCGAAATGCCGACCCGGAGTGGATGTTACTCGTCTGGATGCCAACCTGCAGGAGGCTTTGGGGGATGTGTGGCCGAGGGATTTGTTTGGCTTCAAGTATTTGGGAGGCTTTCCTTGGTGATCCGGTGCTTTCTGCAGGTGGAGGAGCAGATTTATCCCCACCAAAGCTGCTCTTTGTGTCCTGACTCGTTCCTCTTAAGCTTGGGCTAATCAAAGAACCTTTCTACCTGTTTGCTTCTGCCCTGGGAGGTTTTTTATTTCAATTAAAAAAATATATATTTTATAGAAATATATGTATTTTCCAAGGGGAAAAGGTATATACTAATATACATATATACTATAATATTATATAATACACATATATTAATATACATAAAATACTTGTAAAACTATGTATGTATTAAGATATAATACTTATGTGTATATACACATATTAATATATGTATACATAATATACAATACTTGTGTATATATTAATATACATATATGTACACTTATGTACATATATATTCTATATAATGCAATTTATATACACACAATGTAGAATTGTAGGATCATAGAATCCTTAAGGCTGGAAAAGTTCTCTGAGATCATACTGTATATATTTATTTGAATTATTATATATGTAGTAATTATTATATATTAGTATATAATACTTATGTGTATATACACATATTAATATATGTATAAATAATATACAATATTTAAGTGTGTATATTAATATATGTATATATTAATATATAATATTTATGTGTATATACACATATTAATATATGTATACATAATATACAATACTTAAGTGTATATGTTAATATATATGTATATATTAATATACAATACTTGTGTATATATTAATATACAATACTTGTGTATATATTAATATACATATATGTACACTTATGTACATATATATTCTATATAATGTTGTTTATATACACACAGTTAGAATTGTAGGATCATAGAATCCTTAAGGCTGGAGAAGACCTCTAAAATCATACTATATATATTTACTGGAATTATTATATAGGTAGTAATTATTATATATTAATATATAACATTTACATGTATATACACATATTAATATATGTATAGATAATATACAATATTTAAGTGTATATATTAATATATGTATATATATTAATATATAATACTTATGTGTATATACACATACTAATATATGTGTATATAATAAACAATACTTAAGTGTATATCTTAATATATATGTGTATGTCAATATACAGTACTTATGTATATATTAATATACATATATGTACACTTATATACATATATATTCTATATAATGTAGTTTATATACACACAATGTAGAATTGTAAGATCGTAGAATCCTTAAGGCTGAAAAAGACCTCTAAGATCATATTATATATATTTATTGGAATTTTTATATATGTGGTTCTTGAAAGTATTAGATGTTTATATGGAGTGCTTCAGCTGCAGAAAGCTTTTTTATGTTTCTATAAATATGAATAACTGTTCTGGGAGTAAATTGGTGATTCTGACAGGCTTAATGTTCCTGTGGTTCCTTGAACACATGAAATCATAGAATTATAAATTATCCTGAGCTGGAAGGGACCCACCAGGACCATCCAGTCCAACCCCTGGCCCTGCACAGGACACCCCAACAATCCCCCCCTGTCCCTCAGAGCGTTGTCCAAACCCTCCTGGAGCTCTGGCAGCCTCGGGGCTGTGCCCACTGCCCTGGGGAGCCTGGGCAGTGCCCAACCAGCCTCTGGGGGAAGAACCTTTGCCTGAGATCCAACCTGAGCCTGCCCTGGCACAGCTCCAGCCATTCCCTGGGTGTTGTCCCTGGGCACAGGGAGTGGAGATTGGAGCTGCCCCTCATGAGGAAGCTGCAGACCCCAAGGTCTGACCTCAGTCTAAATGTATTTATTCTTCTGTTTCGTCACACCCTGAGGAAGGTCTTTATTTACACGAGCATGGACTTGAGTCGTTAGTGATAGTCAGGTTCAAACTTTCACTGCAATGACAACTGACTTTGGGATTTTTAGAGAGAACAGAACTTTTTATGGGGCACTGAGTGCTTAAAGGTGATGCTTAATATGGAGAGACTCCTACCTTACTCTTCCCTTCAGCTGTGCCCGCCCAGGACACGCACTGGGAGAGGGTTTGGGGAAAACCAGGTCTCCAACTGAAGCTGTTTCCCTGTTGGCATCACTGGGAGATGTTCATCTGCAGTGACATGGAGCGATGCTGGTGTCCATGATGGGGGATTCATTGTCGCACCTGAATGTGTCTGTTTGGTCTTAAACTCATTTCAACCTCTGAGAAATCCCTCGTCTCCAAGATTTGTCACATCTCTGGTACCACAGGAAGACCTTCTAGTGGAAGGTGTCCCTGCCCATGGCAGGGGGTTGGAACCAGATGGTCTTGAAGCTCCCTTCCAACCCAAACCATTCTGGGATTCCGTGGAGACTCTCAATTTTTATTTTGACTTCTAGAGATGAATTGCAAGGGGAGGTTTTTTTCTGTTTTCTCTTTTGTTTCTTCCTCTGCACCTCTGACTATTTTCCTCCAGCTTCTATTGTTAGATAAAAACCAGCAGGGCTGTGCCAACCAGCAGAAACAAGTGTCCACATCTTTTTTCCTTTTTTATCTTACAGATAAAAGGACCCATCATAATGGATTTAAGCTGAAAGAGGACAGATTTAAATTGGATTTTTCACAAGGGCCTGGAGTACCAGGACAAAGGGGAATGGCTTCCCACTGCCAGAGGGCAGGGAGAGATTAGATATTGGGAGGGAATTGTTGGCTGTGAGGGTGGGGAGGCCCTGGCACAGGTTGCCCAGAGGAGGTCTGGCTGCCCCTGGATCCCTGGAAGTGTCCAAGGCCAGGTTGGAGCAACCTGGGCTAGTGGAAGGTGTCCCTGCCCATGGCAGGGGGTTGGAAATGGTCTTTTAAGTTCCCTTCCAACCCAAACCATCTGTGTTTCTATGATTCTATGCCAAGGTTTGCATGAAAGATAATACAATTATATACCTTTAATTCCTTGCCTTCCATAAAGGATTCAGTGCAGGACCAGGATCACAGACCACTGTTGTTTTTCTTTGCAGAGTCGTCTGAAGGAAGCAGTGCAGCTCCTGGAGGATTACAAACATGGCACTCTGCCCCCAGGAGTCACCAACAAAGAGGTGAGAGGGAAAAACCTTTATTAAAATTCCTGCTTATTCCTTCGGTTACAGGTGTTTATGGAGGGTTTTTTGTGGTTTTTTTTTGAACCAGTCGTGAAAACTTCTATATATGAAGTATTTTTCTGATTTTTGGAGCAAGGCACAGCGTTTCCACAGCCACGTTTTTAGGTGACATGGGATTGCCTGGCCTTTGAAGGAAGGTGGGGTTCCTGAACACCCTCAGTCATCCATCTTTGATACTCAAACAGGGAGGGCAGGATGAGGTGGGGGGTTTAGGCTGTGTCTGTGGTCAAATGGATATTTTTGGTGTTTCTACTGGTGAAATCCTGTCCTGGCTTCTCTTGCAAACTGCGCTCGTAAAATTAAAACCAAACCCACATCATTTTCTTTTTTTTTTTAACTGAATGAAACCTTCTTGTCAGCCCTGTAGCTTCTTGTACCCAGCAGCTGTGAGGCATCACCCCCTTCCCCTACAGCCTTCATGTTGGTTATGATAATTGTCATTTCTCCACAGAAATAAACACATAAACCAACGTAAAACCCTCTGGATGTCCTCGTGTTACAGGTTGTACCATCAGTAGTGGTGCTTCTTGTTGGGTGACGTTCCTGCTGTTGGGGTGAAAGCTGCAGGAGGTTGTGGGACCCCCTCCCTTGATGGGAAGGTCTTAGCAGAGTTTTTGGGGCAGTTGCTGAGAAAAGGGTCGGTTTTGGTAGAACTTTGGGACAGAGGGACGAGCTGGGTGATCTCTCCAAGACCCCATCAGTCCTGCTTTTTGGGCTTGTGGCTGCTATTTATGGACACATCAAACCTGTGGAAGCAGAGATTAATATTTTAGAGGGGTTAGGCTGCTTTTTGAGCCTTTTACCTCCAAATCTGTGTCGTGAAACAAAAATTATGAATTTTCTGGCTGTTCCCTCGAACTCTTTTCCTTCCCTGTCCACGTGTGGCCACCCGACCACGACACGGACTCAGGGGCTTCTTTGTGGTCCATGTTTGTGCAACCACCACAAAATATTTAATTTCTACTTAATATAAAGAATTTCTACTTAATATAAAGAACAGGATGAAGGGATTGGCAGAGTTACTCGAGGGGATATAAAAGCAAGGGGTGCCAAAGGAGCAGGGCACCTCCCAAAAAAAGCAATGGTGGAAATGGTGGAGAACTCTTCTTCCTATTGGTCAAATAGCCTCTTTTATATTTTTATTTGCTGTTCCCAAGTGATAATTTCTCCCTGTGAAAGACAAATACAGCAGGTAAATGAAGAAAATTCAAATTTGTGTTGTCTTTAAAAAGTGGCAACTGGCGTGGTAGGGGCTGTCTTGGGAAAGAGGCACAAAAGAAAAGAAATGGGAAATATCCCCTCCCTGCATGTCACAAGGCATTGCCCTCCTGGTGTTTTGGTGTCACTGCACTCCTTCAACCACAATCTGATGGTAAGGAAGGAGAACCCGGGGTTGGGAAAGGAGGAAAGCAGGGAGTGATGCAGCAGCAGATGACTCAGTTCCCATCTGCCTCCAGGCAGATGACACCCAAGTCATCCCTTGTGCAAACCACGCAGACTTTTGACCTACATTTTGCACGGTGACAAACCCAGGCTATTCCCAGAGTTCATTCAGAACTGCAGGGGGAGAGAGCAAGGAAAAGCATCGTGGGTTTTGTTTGACTCAGCCATGACATCGTTTGCAGGAGGGGAAACCTGTGCAAGCTGGAGGGCTCTGAGTGTGAAACAAAGGTGTGGGGCAGAGGAGGAGAAAGGAAATGATGGCAGAAATGCCTTTCCTAGAGAAATGGCAGCACATCAGTGTAAAAAATAATGGGGTTTGTAGTAAAATCTTGTCTCGGTTTTAAGCTGAAGAGGGTTGATTTAAATGGGATATTGGGAAGAAATTCTTCCCTGTGAGGGTGGAGAGGCCCTGTCCCAGGTTGGGCAGAGAAGCTGTGGCTGCCCCTGGATCCCTGGAAGTGTCCAAGGCCAGGCTGGAGCAACCTGGGCTAGTGGAAGGTGTCCCTGCCCATGGCAGGGGGTGGGACTGGATGGGCTTTGAAGTTCCCTTCCACAACAAACCATTCCATGATTCTGTGGGTAGATCCCATCAAAGCTGAATTTTTGCCCAGTGTACCACAACCACTCCAAAGAGAGTGAAGATGGAAGGACCTGGAAGCAGGTGACAATCAGAGCCCAACCTCCCCGTGGCTCCCCCCTCCTGTCAGGGAGTTGCAGAGCCAGAAGGTCCCCCCTGAGCCTCCTTTTCTCCAGGCTGAGCCCCCCCAGCTCCCTCAGCTGCTCCTGCTGCTCCAGCCCTTTCCCCAGCTCCGTTCCCTTCCCTGCACACACTCCAACCCCTCCATGTCCTTCTTGTTGTGAGGGACCCAAAACTGTCCCCATTATTGGCCATGTGGAGAAGTCTTGCTCCAGCCCAGCTCCCAGGAGCCTGCCCAGTGAAGATGGATAAAATCATCAAACGCTGTTGGCTCCTGTGTGTTCCATCTGGGTGAAGGTGAAATTTGAACCAAAGGACACCTGGAGAACAGGTTTTTGCTTTCCTCAAGCTGAGTTTTACCATATTTATGCCTTTTCTGTGCACCACTGTCTGCAGGGTGGAACTCTGGCTACGAGGCATTAACAATTTGCAGTTGTTCTGGTCCTAATGTGGGAAAGGGATGTGATGCAGCTCTGGGGAAGTGCATGGGCTAATGTTGGAATAAAGGACTGAGCCATCTGATGTTTTATGTAGCTGATGGCTGAGTGTCACACACTCCTCTGATGCACTGATGTGTTGCCACAGGCAGGCAGGAGAGAGCAGATGAGTGGTAATTTGATTTTTGACTGATTTGGGGTTTTTTTCCCCCCCCTCTCTGACTGTGATCAGAGCTAATCCCTTTGTGTTCACCGTGGGCAAGAAGTGTAAGATGGAGCAGTGACTTGGCTCATCTCGTGTTTTGTATCTGAGAGAGGAGAAATTGCTGTTATTACTCATCAGAAAGGCTGAGCAGAACTTCAGTGATGCTCAAGAGAGCAGAACTCTGCTTTATCTTCTTGGTTTAAGAGCTGATTTGGGTTTAGTTGCTCAAACCCCCCCCCGAAAAATGCAATTGCTGCCCTTTAAAACAGGCTCTTCAGGCATGGCTTGGATACAACACGTGCAGAGAAGAGATGCCTGGGTGGTCTCCCATTTCATAATCGGAACGAAAGTCACGACCACCAAAAGCAAGACTTTAAAAATAACGGTTTGGGCAGAGTTTTAAAGCATTAGTTCTCTAAGAACCCAGCGCTTTCCCCCTTCCCCCCTTCAAATATCAGCTTTGAGATCAAGGAGACAGGTTGTTTTGACAGAGTGTTTCGCTAATCTCCCGACGGATCCACTTTGGTGGAGCGGCGCGTTTGACAGTGCTCGAATTCCTCCTTTTTTTTTCCCCCCCCCCCCTCCTCATTCAGAAATCCGTGGTTCTTGGGAAGGATGGCAGGCAGGCGGTAGCTGGGAGCCTCGCGGCAGCTCTATCGCTCGCTGAAATGGTTTCACCACGTGAAAAGATGGGAAATAGGAGAGCCTAAAGCTATGTCACGTCAAGCGTCTCCTCCACGCGCGTCTCCTTGACAGGGCTCTCGTGGAACGAGGCTTTTTCTCTTCTGCATTTTCCCAGGCAGATTTTTCGAAATGAGCCGAGATGGAACAGTGAGGGGCTATCTAAAGCAAAAAAAAAAAAACCAACAAACCTCTGAAGAGACATGATCATTAAAGAAAAAAAGCTCCGAAGAGTCGTAATTGTACTTTTACCAGCTCCCCATGAGCAGTTTCCAGAATCAACGCTGCTCTCTCCGAGATGATTCCCAGACACCAACACTTCCAACACCTACAGCTCTGCCCCTTTCAGGTCTCTCACACTCATCCAATAATTCTTGGTTTTGCTCTCGGAGTGATTTTGCTGCTCAGGAAAACGACCATTAACTCAAGGTGGTAAAATCCCATTTCTTGGGCGTCATTAGCAAAAATGAAGAATTGATCCCTTGGCTGTCGATAGCTGCTGGACTGCTGAGAGCTCCTTATTGAGGGTTTATCCCTACATTAGAAAGATGTTTTAAAAACATGATTTTGATCACTGCTGTATCAATTATTTAGTCAGCAAAACAGAGGAGAAGTAGCTGCTCGATCAGGATTTATTCAGAGCAAGAAAACCCTCTCCAGTCGCCACTTCTTCAGCTTAGCTTGTTTTTTTAATTTAAATATTTAACAGCCAGACTTGTTTTTTGTTAAATACGAAGTTGAGTGGTTCACATTCCACTTATTAAAACCCCACCAACTGAAAGTATTCTGTGTAGGGGAAATACCCCACACTGTCGTTGATCCCCCTCTCTGACAGGCTCATGAATTCGTATTTTTTTCTCAAAACAAAAAGATATTCTCCATAATGCAACTATTTGGGGTGTTTTTTCTGTTCCCTTGGTTGTGTGGGTTAAATATTTTAAAAGGATTAGAGGAGAGCTTGGAGGAGAAACCCCCGAAAACCTTGGGAAGATTTGGTCTCCTGGTGGGGGATTTTGGGTGGCTCAGTGTCAGGTGATTGGACTCCACAGATCCAGAAGGGTTTGATGGAGGAAACAGCTGTTTCTTATCATGGTTTAGAAGTACAAATCTGTGCTGTGAAAACACCAAGAGAAGTGGTGGGTTTAGTGAACTTCTTGTGCCTTGATTCTGTTTGGTGACCGTGTCCATCAGTGGAGAGGGTAAGTAATTCAAAGGGCTGGTGTGTCATCTGATGGCCTGTATCCCCTTTCATCTCCCTGTCCCAGGGGAAGCTGGAAAACAGTAGGATCCTTAGTAGTGGAGGGGGGGAAAAGGAAATGTGTAGGATTCATGTTGATGGGAGAAACTGGTTCTGTTGTTGTTTGTGTGCCATCTTTTCCTGTAGGTGTTGTATTCATGGAATCGAAGAATGGTTTGGAAAGGGTTGGAAGGGACCTTAAAGATCATCCAGTTCCGCCCCCTGCCATGGGCAGGG